TTAATCCCGGCGATGGAAGCGGAATGAGAAGGACGCGCGTGGAAGGTAACAAATTATTATAAATTATTATAAATTATTATAAATTATTATTAACAAATTATTTCCTTATTTTTTGTGTAACTCAAAGCACAGTCTGAGCCGTCTTTAATGCGTTAAAAATGTACACTCTGACCTGAGAAACGATGAGCGGTGTATAAATGAGAAGTCTTTAGATTGTCCGTGAGTACGAGAGACAATTATATTAATTGCCCTCCTCGTGGTGATAAGCCCGTGAGCCGGTGAGACACGTGGCGATCGGCACTCGCGCACGTGTGAGCCTGATTCGTCGTGTCGATGTACAGAGCTGGATGAGCGGTCTCTTTACACGTTAGTAAAGTATCTCGGCAGCTTCAATCACTGCGGTGGGCACTTCAATTCGCTGTAACACTCGAATGAAGCACAGAGCACACTTCGTACGTCTGGTCACTGCGCGGCCATTTGTACGACTCTGTGTGTCGAGGAAGAAGTTGGCGATGAGCGCGCCCGTGCTTGCGCAAGTTGCCGCGTCGATCCGGCCCGTCGATATTCGATCGATGCTGCCATCTGATCGGATGGCGCAGTGTGATAACGGAATCTCGAACATTCCGCCCGCCATCAGCAACCTTGTTGATGATCCCTTACTTTCGATCCTTATCCTGATGGAATGGGTAATATGGCCAGCTGGGCAATTGGCCGGGTGACTATCGTGGTGGCCGTCTTGAGGGTAACCACCCTGGTGAGTCCATCCTTGCCGGGGTGCAAAGCTGTTACTCTGGCGAGTGTGGCCACTTGCACGGTGGAGAGCGTTTGTCGATGAGCAGCACGATGGAGCCCACCTCGATGTTGTTGTTAGGATGATGCCACTTGGATCTCGCCTGCTGGCGTTGTAGATAATGAGCCGACCATTGTGCCCAAAAATGTTGAACACGCTGCTGAATGAGCTGCCACCGATATAATCGTGAGGTTGCCAGGTCAATTAGAGATGGCTTGGGTATGGTAGTGAGTGGACTGTCAATGAGAAAATGACCTGGTGTGAGCGCTGAGACGTCTTCAGGGTCGTCACTCAACGGTTCTAAAGGGCGCGAGTTGAGAATGGCCTCGATTTGCGTAAGCAACGTTGTAAGTTCTTCCGTCGTGAATAGAGTCTCCCCGATAGTCCGTCTCAGATGAAACTTCACGGATTTTACCACCGCCTCCCACTTGCCCCCCATGTGTGGAGCGCCTGGTGGGTTGAACTCCCATCTGGTGCCATCAAGTTGCAAAACTTGAGCAATCCGTTGATGTTCTTGAGAACATTGAATGAAAATTTTTTTGAGCGCGGCGTCTGTTCCAATGAAAGTTGTCCCGCAGTCCGAATACATGGTCTGAGCAATTCCCCTTCTCGCTGAAAATCTTCGGAAGGCTGCTATGAATCTTTCTGATGAGTAGTCACTGACTACTTCGAGGTGAATTGCGGAGGTGGAGAAGCAGACGAACACGCAGATCCATCCCTTGTATGTTTTTGCACCTCATCCCTTCCATGTCTTGATGGTGAGCGATCCGGCATAGTCGGCTCCTGTATGAGCAAACGGACGTGACGGCGTAACCCGAGAGAGAGGTAGTTGGCCCATCAGTTGATGAGCACGGATCCCCCTCTGCCGAGCACACACGACACACCGTAAGATATGAGACTTCACCGGAGCCCGTCCGCCGATGATCCAGTATTGTTGCCTGACATGAGCCAATGTCACCTGTGTTCCTCCATGCAGGGTACGCAAATGGGCGTGGGCAATGATCAAGGTTGAGAGCCGTGAGTGGCGAGGTAAGATCGCCTGATGTTTGTTGTTTTGAGCCAGTGCTGATTGGTTGAGGCGGCCGCCAACTCGGATAATCCCTTGAGCGTCGATGTACGCAGTCAATCGACTGAATGCGTGAGCAGTTGGTAGTCTCGAGTTGACCGTGAGCATTTTGATCTCGGGCGTGAAGTATGCCGCTTGAGTAGCTTTGATCCAGAATAGTCTGGCCTCTTCCAAAGCTGAGTGCAAGTACAGTGGCTTGTATCGGCGCTTTCTCAGAAGCGATATGAACCTGAAACAAAGAGCTGTTATTTTTAATAGTTTATTGAGAGTTGAGTACCGATATATGAGGTCCCAGTGGTAATCCGACTGAGATGCGGCAGCATATAGCGCAATGCCAGGACGAGCTTCATGAGTGCTCAACTCGTCCGAAAGAGCGGGTTGGGATGGCCATGCTTCAGGTGTGAGCATCCACGGTGGTTCCGTCCATCATAATGAGTGGCTTTGAAGTTGAGCAGTAGTTAGGCCTCGGAATGCGCAATCGGCTGGATTGGATGTACCGGGTACGTATTTCCAGTATGCTTTTGCAGTGAGATCTTGAATCTGAAAAACTCGGTTTCTCACAAAGTCCTTCCAGCGCGATGCATGAGATTTGATCCACGTGAGTGTCACAACAGAGTCCGTCCACAGGTGAGTTGCTGTAACGTTCAACTTCAAGATGGCTTTAACGTATTGCATGAGTCTTGAGAGCAGCAGTGCTGCGGTGAGTTCAAGTCTCGGGATGGTGAGCCGTTTGAGCGGTGCTACCTTAGTTTTGGAGCACACCAATAAAATTGTGGCGCCATTAGAGCCGTGGACGGTGATATATACGACTGCAGCCATTGCCAGTTGAGAAGCATCAGAAAAGCCGTGAAATTCCACTGACGAGGTGTTTAATGTGTTATACCATCGAGGTATTGAGATCTTGCTTAAGCTGGTGAGTTCCTTTCTGATGATGAGCCACCGTGAAGAGAGCTGGGATGGCAGTGATGCTCCCATTGATCCCATTGATGCTCTTGCAGGAGCTTGTGTAGCCAAAGCTCCTGCAAGAGCATCTTTGCCTTGATCACTACTGGTGATGCAAAGCCTAGTGGATCGAAGATCTGAGCTACTTCAGACAAAACGAGGCGTTTGGTGAGATGATCGGTTTGCGACGAGATCCTTGTTGAGAATGTAAATGAATCTTCTTGAGGAAGCCATCGTAATCTGAGTATTTTGGTTACGCAATCGTCAAATGTAATGTTTGTGAGCCCTGGTCTTTTTCTGCTTGAACCGCAGCGAGCACGTCTGGATGAGTCGCGTGCCACTTGGCCAGTGGAAAACCGCCCGCCATGCACAAATTCTTTAGCTGCAATGAAATTTTTATTAGCTGCTGAACCGTGTCAGCGCCTCCAAAAATGTCGTCGACATATCGACCTCGAAGGATGGACGGCACTGCAAGGGGAAAATTGTGGCCTTCATCCTCCACCAGTTGCAGCAATGTTCGCAATGCCAAGAACGGGGCAGCCTTGGTCCCATACGTGACCGTGGTTAGATAATATGACAATTCATTGAGCAGTTCATCTATCCATAGAATTCGTTGTAAATTCCAGTCATCTTCATGTACGTTGATTTGTCTGTACATCTTGGTGATGTCCGTGGCAACTAAATGCCGAAATTGTCGAATCCAGAGTAAAACATCGGTGACGTCTAAATGCAATTTGGCTCTCGTGTGCATGAGATCATTAAGTGAGCGGCCGAATGTAGATGCACTCGAGCCATTAAATACCACCCGTAATTTTGTAGTTGCACTATCTGGTCTGAGCACTCCGTGATAGGGCAAGTAATATTGTGTGAGCTGACTGGAAACGGGTGAAACCTTCTTCATGTGAGTGAGCTCTCGATATTCTGTCATAAACTGATGATACAAACGTCGATAGTTGTCATCTCGGGAGAGTCTTCTTAGTAAACTTTGCAAACATCGATGCGCAGCGAGATACGAATCGCCAAGAGTATCAGGTGATGATTTGAATGGAATTCGAACCGTGTATCGGCCTGCTGAATCCCGAGAAACTGTGGACTTAAAGTATTTTTCACACCTTTGCTCGTCAGGTGTAAGATCATGATTCTCATTCTCAGGCACTTCTTCTTGTGTCCAAAATCTCGACAATAACTCATCGAGAGCATCTTCTTTCTCCTGAATCGATGCATGATGTACTGCAGCTGATGCCGATGATGATGTGTCGACTGGCCCGAGAACGAGCCATCCGAAAATTGAGAGCTGCGCAATTGGCATCAATGGATCTTGTTTGATGATGTTGGGCTTAATGATCTGCCCATATGAGTCAGCTCCAATAATAATATCCACTGGCCGTGGTGTAAGGAAATCAGGATCAGCCAAGGTTAACTTGGTGAGATGCGGCCATTGCTGTGGTGCAGCGTTGAAGGATGACAGGATGTTCGTTACCGTCTGCAGAACGTGAGCTTGAATAACGACGTCTGAACTTGAGTAAAGTGAGCGGAGCTTAAGCAATGCAACTCCTCGAGTTTGCGTCGTCTTTCCGCCACTAATTCCAGTGATGAGAATGGCGAAATGATGACGAGTGATGTTGAGCTGGCGAACGAGAGATTCTGAAACAAAGGTAAGTTCTGAACCTGAATCGATGAGAAGCCGTACGCGCTGAGTATTAACAGATGAGCTGATCTGAGCCAGGGCCGTAGCTAGCAATGTTGAGTGAGCGACGATTGCACCATCTTCCTATTGAGCTGACGCAGCTGAGGTGGTGATCGGCTTCGCTGATGAGTTCGACTGATGAGCCTCATGCAGCATCGTGTGGTGTCGGTTGGTGCACTTCTTGCACCCCCGTGAGCTTTTACATGAGCGGACATTGTGGCGGCCGAGGCAATTAAAGCAGAGCCTCCGTGAGATGACGAGTTTCTGTCGATCGCCCGGTGAGAGGACCCTGAATTTGGTGCACGTTACGATGAAATGCGTGCCGTTGCAGCAGTCACACGGGTACACCGTTGAGCCGTCTGATGGTTCCGTGCGGGATGGTTGAACTGCCGCATGTTGAGCTGTCGAGGAGCGCCTGGATGTTGAGGCGGCCCTGCTTTCCGAGCTGGCTGTGGACTCTATCTTCTCGAGTGCTCGTGCTCGAGATATGAGAAACTGCTCGAGCTGCTCGAATCGCGGATACTCGCGCTTGGCGCCTAGGAATGTCTCTCACTGCTCCTTCGTCTGGCGATCCAGCTGCCTGGACAGCTGGTACACCAGGATGCAGTCTCCCAGGTCTTGTGAGATGCCCAAGGCTTGCAGGCCCTTTATTCCTTCCTTGAAGGTAGTGAGCAGCTTGTCCAATGCTGCGGCGTTTTTTTGCACCAGTGTTGAGCTGGCAAAGAGCTGGTCGAGGTATGATTGAATGAGCAGGCGCTTATTCTCGTATCGATCGACGAGCATCTCCCAGGATGGTTTGAGCGAGTCGGCGGTAAGAGACAGTCCGGAAATGAGCTGAGCAGGTGGACCTTCCAACAAGAGCCGCAGATAATGGAGTTTCTCCACGTCGGTGAGCGGTTGGTCATAAATGACAGCCTTGAAAAGATCAAGGTATGTGGGCCATGCCCCGTACTCGCCTTTGAATAACGGGATAGTAATGTCCGGCAGTCTCTGTTGAGACTGTGAGGGCTGCGCCGCTTCAGACGCTGCCTTCGGAGCAAGCCTTTCCGCCAGTGCGCCCTTGAGCTTCGCCAGAGAGCGACGAGCCGCTATGCACTCTCGCGCTTCCACGGCGAAGGCGTTTTTTGAGAAGTACTCATGAGCGATGAGCGCCGCCGGCCATGAAACCTCGAAATAGGCGTGTTCCTTAAGGAACGCTTTGTGCACTTTCTCGAGCTGGATCAAGATCTGGAGGACCTCATCCACCGACGTGTCATCAACAGTGGATGGCAACGTTTTGCTGATGATCCGCACCGTTTCGATGCGGTTCATCTGAGTCTGCACTTTGAGCGTGAGCTCCGCGGACAAACGCACCGGTGAGGCCTGGCGGTCTGACGTGCGCCTGTCTTCCGGCAGGTCGAGCAATGGCGGAGTCTTGCCGCCCGTTCCGGTTTTGGCGGGATCCGTCATGATGAGCCGTTC